GCTTCATGGTTATTAGTAGCACTTTTATTTATTTAAAAGCTACATATAAGATACAGTAAACTTCCCAAAAATATTATGTTCCTTTTCTACAATACCCTTTTCAGCATTTGGTCTTGATTCAGCTATGCATCAGTTCCAGTCCTATTTCCAAACTGGTTTGTTTCTTTCCAGCATTTGACCTGGTTTGAGATGACTAAATGCAAAGGTTCCTCCCTTTCCAGGAGGCAGAACACCCAAGATGTTAACACAACACTGCAACCCATATGATTTTAATTGAACATTTCCCAAGATATATTTTTTCTTCCTACTTCAGGGAATAAAATCTATTAGCACTTCACTGTTTCACTACACCCGGTTTTGGTCTTAGGTTTCTTCTGTAGCAGAAATTAGCAGTTAGCTGTCCATGATAGGTAGCCTGAGATTAAGGAAAAACCACATAAGAGTGAAATGGTTAATTATTTTGTGGTGCAGCTACACATGGATGCTAGCAATATCCCACCTGGTAATTTGCTTGTGTACTTTCAGGTTTTGCCTTCATATTGGGGGTGGGGGTGGGGGAATGAGCCGTTATCTTTTATTGGGCGATGACAGGAAGAGCTACAGAGTAGGAGGACACCTTTAGACTTGGTCACTGCACATGGCATGGATACAGTTGAATATTGTAATGGCCTAGACCAGAGGTGGGCAACTATAGTTCCTTTATGACTGGTAAACGTCAACTCCAAGAATTCCTGAGCCAGCTTGGCAGGCTTAGGAATTCTTGGAGTTGAAGTCCACCAGTTGTAAATAGGTCATAGTTGTCCACCCCTGGCCTAGACTAATTCCGCTGTGAGTCTTAGTGTAGAGTAGGCCAATCACTCCCTTACTGTTGTTGGATAAAATCTTGTCCTCTGTAACACTTCACGTCTTCTTTCTCCATTCAACAGCATTTGTGGAGAAAGTTCCTGGTCTACCACAAATGCCTGTTGGCACAGCCAAGATAATCTAACCATAGAAATCTTCTTTCAAACATTTAACAATGTCCCTGAACTGAAAATTGCCTTGATGCATATTTGTTTATTATGACATTCCCAATAATCCTTAGAATCATCTCTCCATGGTAAGCATCCTTCATTAGCAACCCTTTGAACTTTCCTAAGATCATATTTTTGACGGCTGTGGGTTCAGTTGATCTTGGAGCTGGGAGAGGCTGAAAACTGCAAAGGGTGAGTAGAATATTATACAAGGGGAATGCAAGATTTGGCTTTTTCAGATGTTTTAGTCATTTGAATTTTAATTAGATCAGCCTATTTTATGGTTTACATACAGAGTCATATGTTTCTCACTTCAAAGTAGCACAAAACAATGTTATCAATGTTCAGCATTGCTGGCCAGCAGGTCTGAAAGAGCTGGAAAGGGGGAGCGGGTTGTTTGTTGCCCTAAAGTTGCATGGTTTTATTTTTTCTTTCTGTGGTGTCATGTGGATAAGCTAGTTTCTCGAGTCATCTTGAATGCCTTGGGCATCTGCACAAGATGATAAAGACAAACTCTTCTTTGGTGTCCTTTATTTTTTCCATACCAAAGCTACACTGGAAAGAAATGTATTTAAACAAGTTCAGAATTGTCTATCTCTCTGTATATCTGTCTGCAGGATAACTTTGGAAAATTACACAACTGAAGCCTATTTGGTGTAGTGAAAGAATCCTGCAAAAGGAAGATACGGTTTAAATATGATTTGAAGAAAGATTTGGGAGGTGGGGGGGGATCACTACAGCACTTGGCTAGTGAAGTGGACTATGGTCAATTTTTCCATTGTAAGCCTAGTCACATGACCTAGAGCAGAGAATTTACAGCTCACCTTATGAGTTCCAGTATATGCAAGCATACAAACAGACAGAACTCAAGGACAGGCACATCCATCGAGAATGGGAAAATGTATATATACATCCTTATTAATCATAGGGAAAGGTCCGTGTGTGTATACATGCACGCGTACACACACACACACACACACACACACACAAACATGCACACACACAGGCCACATATTTCAGCTCATAAAACATTTGGAAAGAATCAAGAATTCAAACCATCTTTCCCCATTTAGTACACAGAACACTCTCATGCATGGTTCCAATTTGGAAGTGAAATCCTACTGTTTTGATGGAACTTAATTTCAGGAAACTGTACATACGAATTGCAGTGATAATTTTGGTTTCTTAATATTATTAAAGACAATCCTATATATGATGCATATTAATTTTCTGTTATAGCGGGAATATTCTTTTTCTCTAAGTTTGAAACGTGTTCAAAAAGGAGTTGAATATATATATAAATGGTACAGTTTACGTATAGATCAAATGCTAGAGGATCCACTGGAATGTTGAAATTTCATTACATGGAATCTGTTTTGTTTTGTTTTACTTGGAATTATCGGATACCTGGAATGAAATAGAGTTTACACAAAGCCAATAAGATAAATATTGTTCTGAAACCCACCAATAATTTTTCTTTCTTTTTTCTCCTGCAAAAGAGACTTCTGGGTTTTTTTTTTAAAGCCTTCTTTTAAAATAAGAATTTAATTCAGCATTTTCTCAGTAATGTTTTCTTGGGAATATTATATCACAGAAGGCCAAAATAGATAGTTCTAGAGTTACTGTCTTTAATTTAGGTTTCCACCACTTTGATTCCCCCTATAGTGACACTCATTTCCTAATTTTTTTAAAAAAGCAAAAACAAAACAAATGATTTTCCATATGTCTCTTCCTAGAATTTAATTAAGGCATAAGAAGCCAGGAAAGCTGCAGAGTTCTGGAGAAATGGTTGCACAACAAAGGAATCAATCACGAGCCTTCTGGACACACCATATTGATGAAAACATGATGAAACATGCATTGTGATATCACAATGCAATCCCCAGCCTTTTGCACCTGTGTCCCAAAGTCAAAAAGTTGTTATGACATCATTATACATGTTGCATCCTTTGACTTCTCTAGGCTCCCCGTTGATGCCTATTGCAAGCATATTCATTCATCCCTTGACCACCATTTTTTTTAAAAAAAAAATGCAAGGACATAATCCATACAATTTTTACAAAATTTTCTTTTTGTTTGAAAAATGTTTTGAAAGTCAAATTTCTCCTATCAGCTGGATGAGAATGTAAGGATTTTTTTATAGTACTAGAAAAGATGGATTTTCTCCAAAGGGAATACAACATTAAGAATAACTGAAAGGCATATGGTGTCTTCTAGTTTATTGTAATAGCTGTTTTCCCCCCTGTAAGGAAATGAGCACACTTGGAACTAATTAGCATGTCAAACTGTATCAAGGCAAACAGTGATTCAGAATGTGACTGTTGTTGCTACTCAACTCCAAGAGATTATTATTTACCATTCTTTTTATTTACATCAAGACTTTGATGCTCTTGACATTAAAAGAAGAAAGACACATTTGTTCCCCACGGAGTTTAATATAAACGCTCTTTAGAACTTGGCTCATGATTATGAACAACACAGTTATAATCATCCAAATCTAATTCCTATCTGTAAGGTTCAAGGACTGACTACTATATTCTTGGCAATACATTATATATTATTGACAGATTGTTTGTGTCTGTTTCAGACTTTACAGAAAACTTGATTTTGTACAATGTTGGGGAGGACACTCTTTTTTGTGGCTGTACTTTAAAAAAAAAAGACCCTGAAAATTACAGATGCATTTACCATCCAGTTGCTACTTTTTTTTTTTTACTTTTGTATGATTACTGTTTGTTTGTTTGTTTTTTGTTGCACACTGTGTAGAGTCACATTGTTTGAGTTGGACAATCTTATAGATCAATTCAATAACTAACCAAATAAAATGTTGCCAGGTGTGTGGACTTTTTCACAAAAATAGGCAAATTGAAGGAAACGCCTAGATGGAAATCAATGGGTCAACTCCATTCAGAATTTGCAAGGAGACGGGGCAGGAAATGACTTTACTCTGAAAAGGCTGAGTGAGTGTTGTCTCGTTGGTTTTAAATGTTTTTAAAAATATGGCTGGGGTCCCTTATTTGCTTGCTCGCCTGTCCTCTGTATTTATTCTCTTGGGGAATGATCACTTGACTAAGCAGTTATGTGTTCAGCATGCACAATCAGGTGATCCTTACTCAGAAGAAGCTTCAAGTTCTGATTTACAAGGAAGTTACAAGGGAGGGTTCAGGTATGCAAGCTTTTAAAACTGAAATCCAGACCTCATGCAGTCATTAGCTGCAAAGCAAGTTATTTTTTTCTTTCCCATACCAATAATTAGAGAAATATCTGCAGGAAAAAATAATACATGCATGCCTATAATATTCATTCTATGTTACTGGAGATTATTCTTTTATTAAAGCTGATGTTAGGCTTGGGTGTATAAATACCATCATTACCAGCTCACAATTCTTAGCCAAGATGATGAGAATGGCATTGCCCTGTCACCCAAGATGAAGATGGCTGTCTGGCTTCAACTCAGGCACACCAAACAATTCAATAAACAACACCCTCTTGCAATTTTGATTCCAACATGTTTCCAAGCAGCTTGGGCGGGGGGGGGGGGGGGGCTACGTTACTTACCGCCTTTCTTCGAAAGCTGAATGCAACAGCAGGTTCTAAAAGTAACTACCAAACCTCCGAGGAATATCTGGGCCTCCCTTCCCTTAGTATTATAAGGAGAAAAACCCATTTCTCATCTGGTGCTGAATAAAGTATAATTCCAAAACCCAGGCGTGACTTGGATAGGGACTGTGCGCCACCAATTAGCCACGCTTATTGTAGTTACAATTTTTTAAAAAAAGAATACCAGTCTATACTGCAAATACTCTAGGTTCAATTCCCTCTTGGTCATGTGTTACCAGTACTTATTATGGAGGTTAAAAAAATGAAATCAAGCACACTATTTTTAATATATATTATGCTCTAAATTCTACATTGCTTATAATTAAAATAATCCATAAGTAGTGAACAAAATAAAATGGTTACCTAAAATCAGTAAGCACATCCATGTAATGGTCATTCATTTAATGACCATCCGATTCACTTAATAATTGTTGTAAAAGTAGTTGTAAAATCAAGTCTGGTCATATGGTGACTTGATTTAAAACTACAATGACTTTCAATCAAAATTTTGGGCTCAGTTGTTGTTGTAAGTTGAGAGCTACTTGTATATGTTTTTCAGCCATGTACCAAAGAGATTACAGTTCAATATCATAATATAATATAATGGTAAGAAGAGATGGCTTATTACAGATCCCATCGGTCAAAGAACTCCAACTGTTGGCATCCACAAGATCTTTCTCTGCCGGAGCCCCTGCCCTTTGGAACATCCTGCCCTCCAGGGTAAGACCTGCCCCCACTCTCCTATCTTTCTATAAGAGCTTAAAGGCCTGGCTCTGCAAATTGGCCTGGGGACCCAATGGGGGAGTTCAACTCTGGAGGTGCTGAAGAAGCCTCTGAGCGTGAGGCCAAGGGCTTCCTCCAGCAGCTTCTTCTCCACCTGAAAGGAAGCACAGATAATGCCATTATTTTTTGGTAACATTTTCCTATCCATGCCAAGGAAATGCCAGAAACATTGGTGAAGGTGGTACCTCAAGAACATCTTCATCTTTTATCTCCATGGTGGCCATCCACAGAAATACAAATATATCCAGCAGCATGGATTCCACCAATGGTCCATGGCTGGCAGGACCTTGTTATGGTGTCAAAAGAAGATAGAGGTATCAATGTCCATCTTAGTGAATAGCCCTCAGTTTCATTTTGAAAACTTATGAACCCAGTCTTTTAGTACCAAGAAGGAATAAAAGATAAAACTCTCTGGAACACATTTGCTCATTTCCCCTTCCAAAGAGGACAATGAATGGGTGTTTTCCCTCCTGGAATATAATATCCCAGTCTTCTGAAAGGTTGGCTACAAAATGGGGACGGTTGCCCAGAATCCAGCAGCCCTTGAGAAGTCCAACTTACCTCTGGAAATGGAACTTTTCACTCATTGAGGACAGGGGGTAACTGAGAGTTAAACCCAGAGGTGAATGGATGAGAACACAAAGGCCCTACAGTTTCCATGGAGACCCCAGGCCCCTTGCCATTAAGCATTGTGAGGTGCTCACAATGATCCTTTAGCCAAGCATTTCTGTATATCAGAAATGGCAGGCCAATACCTTAGGGAAGTTTCCCCTAAAACCACACAAAACCCCCCTATTTTCCATTGTGTTATGGAGGAGGACTAGCTCTTTGGATATAGACTGTATCTTAATATGTAAGTTCCATAAAGTAGCTGCTTGAGCAAGACTCACTGGCTTTTGAAAACATGTTGTCTATGGATGTCACTACATCCCTATCTCTTGGGTCAGGTCACACTATTGTTTCTGCTTGGATAAGATATCTCCCTTTTTCCTCAACTGCAACATTAAAATAATTTCTTACCATTGGAAAATATTTTTTATATAGCTAAGTTATGTTTTCAGAACCTTAGGCTAATCGCAGTCTGTATCTGCCAGTGTAAATTTAAGGTGTCTGGCAAAGAATTGAGGTATTTCCCAGAAGGAAAAAAAACCCTGATGGCAAAGCGGGGGTAGTGGTGGTGTCAGAGGAGCTTCAGTAGGAGGTGGTTCTTAGAGATTCAGAAAAGGTTTCGCCTCTGCTCAATCTCTGAGCTGAAGAGAACATTTGGGCAGAGAGAGAAGTTGTTTCCGTTTAAATCTCTGGGAAGGAGCCCAGTCCTGAGGACATCCTTTCCCTATTTTATGCCTCCTCATCCCAGGGCAAAGGGTCTTCTCATCACAATGCTTTTTGGACATCAATAGGAATAATTTTTTTCTCCTTTGCTGTACATAGTGACTGGGTGTGTTGCTCCCTCTGGATAACTTTGAACATCAGATCATAGATGTCTTCTACAGCTTGCCTCCTTTCCAACATAGAAGCAAACTTCTCCCTGCCCCAACAAGAAAAAACAGTGATAAAAGCGCTAGAAGAGAGTGGAAGGTGGCAATGAGGCAGAATTCAAGAAAACATGCTTAATTCATGGCAAGCAAAAAGGATTATGTGATCCAAATTGATTGAAAATGATCCACCAATAATGAAAAGTAAAAAGGGAAGCTGGATGTTTTTCGGAGGACATCTCTCTTTTTCCATTTCCTAAGAAGAGGCCAAATCTGCATTTTCATCCTCTGATAAGTTGGTTACTAAAAGAGGGATGGTTTCCCAGAGCCTGGCAGCCCTTCTAAAGACCAACTTACATCTTGGAAGATATCTTTGCTATGGTAACTGACAACTGACGGTTAGTGACAGTTTAGCCTGGATGAATGAAGTCATAAAGCCAACAGAATTTCCAAGGAGATGAGAAGCCTCCTTTAGGATCCTACCAAAGATCACCTACCACACCTTTTCTACCTACACCATTGCCAGCCAAATGTCTCTAGGAACCAACTAACAAATCACTGTTTCTCATTTTTTTCCACAGAAGGCCTAGTTCTTAAGATGTGGACTGTTTCTTTATGTAGAAGCTTCATTAAGCTTGTTGACTGAGCAAGACTCATTGATGCAACTCTTGCTAAACTTCCAGTCTGATTTCCTTTGTGTTTCAATGCTAGGGTTTTTTTTGTCCCAACACCCCTTTATCTAAGGTAAGCTTTTAATCCTTTTAATCCAAGAGGCATATAAATCTTCCAATGTAGACCACCCCTTAATAAGGATGTTCTTTTAAGCCACCCACTTGAGTGAGACTCATTATGAAAACTCTGTTCCAGTCCCTTTGGCTGACATTACGACTCAGATGTCTCAATTCTTTTTGTTTGGATGAAGACACCTTCCTTTTCCTTCTGCACACCAAAGTTCAAGTACATGAGAGAAAGAGAATATCCCTCCCCAACCATGTCTCTTCTCAAGACATGGAGCCATGTTTTAAGATCAACAGTCGCTTTCCTATCTCTTCCTCTTCAGCCCAACTCAACACCACAGTGCATTCTTCAACATGCTAAATCCTAAATCCTGATCAGTAGGGTGGGGGGGATCCCATTTTTATAGAATATGTTCTTCCCAATTAAAAAACCATAATGTGCTCTTAGTCTTTTAAATGAGAAATGAATTCATATCATCATCCAGTTGTTCAGGAAGAATTGGAGTCAATTCTCACACCAGCTGAGTTTTTTTACAGGCAAGGTTTATCCAGTTTGCACCACCTTTTAAATTTGTTCATTCCTCCCTAGGTAGTACAACCCAGATTTTCAGAACTACTGCTTTAGAGAGTTTTTTTTATTTAAAAAGTTTTTTTTTATTTTATGAACAAACAAACAAATAATACATAATCAGCCATTCAGTGTATCTTCTGAATACATCTTTTGTGTCTTCTTTTTACTCCTCCAGTATTTATCATATCTTAATATTATCATTTCATTTATTATGACATTTCCCCCACATTTCTTACTTCTCTATTAATACATTTATCTATCTTTTTATTTTATTAAAAATTATACAACAATTTTATCCCCACACAACCTTCAACCCACCCTTCCCACGCCCCCCCCCGACTTCCCAGAGCAAAAACAGGGTATAACATTAAACAAACATAAGCTAAAATATGCTAACTTACTACAAGATTCAAAACTCCCTCACACTCTTTAACTCCCCTTTTAAAAAATTATTCATCAACCTCCCTTTTATAAATTCTCTTATCACATTTCACATTTGTTACTAAAATCCTTTCCATACCTTCTTTTTCAGCATTACTCCCTAATAAAATTCTAAATTAAACATTTATCCTCTTTGGTCATTCATAAACCACTTGCCAATTTCTGTTTATTCAACATTACTCCCTTGTAAAATTCTAAATTAAACATTTTAAAACTTTCTTTAAAGCATGTCTTTTTTAAAAAAATTTTTAAAAAATCAATAAAACATTCTTCAAAATATAACCTTAAAGATACTGTTAATTCATTGGGTTAAGTTATTTCCATCTCTTAAATTCATTCTTCAATGTATAAATTTCAAAACTTTCAGGAAGGATAACTTTTAAAAAGCTATCCATTTTTAGTTAAACATTTTTACTTCAATAAAGCATTCTTCAAAATATAATCCTCAAAAGGCTATCTCTTAAATTATATCCAAAACTAAATATAATAAAACACTTCCTTTACATCATTGTCTTAAAATAAACTTAAAAAATACTAATTTCAGTAAGCTTTTCAGATTTATTACTAAGATCCTCCCCAAAAGAAATTAATCTTCCATTCTTCCTTTCTTTCTATATTTTTTCCAGTCCTTCTTCTTCAATAATACTTTCTTCTTCAGCATTGCTCCTCCCTCTGCTTTTATTTTTGAAAATTTTTGAATTTGGATTTGAGGTTGATGTATCTTTGGAATTCGTTCTCTTCTTAGAATTATTTCCTTTAATTTGGAACTCCCATTTCGACTCTTCCTGCTTGTATAAACAGTCACTTCATTCTTTAAATATTGATTCTGTCTGTAAAACCAAGGATTGTCACAGCAAAATTTATCAGTCTGCAGGAAAGAGTCTATTTGCTGCTTTTCAGTTAATTGCATGGAAGCCTCTACCAAAACCTCTGTTTTCAGTGTGCTAACTTCCATCTTAATCCTGACAGTCTCTTTTTTCTCCTCCAAAGTCATATTAGCCTGGTTAATTTCTTTCTCTTTTCCAGCCAGCAAACCATTGTTATTCTCCAAATTTTGATTTTGAACAGTCCTTTTAATGATTCTAATATAACAGAAGTATGAAAATTTAAGAGTTCTTGTAAGACCTTTACAGTCACAACTTGTGAGTGTGCTGGCTGGGAGAATGCTCTCCCCACTAGCCAGGAGGCTGAATGGCCATGTTAGCCAGGAGGAGTCTTGCCTGCCTGGCCAGGAAGCTGCATGGCCATGCTGGCTGGGAAGACACTTGCCCCATGCAATGCTGTTCACCTGCCTGGCCATTGTCAGAAGAGAGGGAGGCAGAAAAGTTCAGCCAAGTCTTCTCCTTCTCGGCCTCAAACATACACACAGAGCAAACATGTACAGTCACACACACTTCACGGTGCTGGGACCTTCTGCAAGGAGATGGTGCATGAGCATGCATCATCTCCTCACAGAAGGTCCCGGCGCCATGAGGTGTGTGTGTGTTTGCTCACACACGTTAAGGCCGAGAAGGAGGAGAAGACTTGGCCAAACTTTGGAAGAACTTTGCCCAAGACTTCTTGTGTATTCAGGGGCTACACCTCTGCCAATGATGAGTTTGGCGGTGATCTAACAAAATGTCTTCCAGCTCTTCAAGATAGCCCCCATGGAAGAAGCCAAGAAGCTGAGAGCAAAAGTAGTGGCACAGTCCCCTCCCAGGTGACAGCCATGGCTTTGCCACCTCATCTTTTCCTCAGAGACACAGTGTCTGCCTCCCTTCACACTCCTTGCAGAGAGGCATGCATCATCTCCTCACAGAAGGTCCCGGCGCTGTGAGGTGTGTGGACTGCGTCTTTGCTCTGTGTGTATGTTTGAAGCCGAGAAGGAGGAGATGACTTGGAAGAACTTTGCCCAAGACTTCTTGTGTATTCAAGGGCTACACCTCTCCCAACGATGAGTTTGGTGGCGATCTAACAAAATGTCTTCCAGCTCTTCAAGATCAACTTTAAGAGTGCCCCCATGGAAGAAGTCGGGAAACCAAGAGCAAAAGTAGCGATGGCGGGGGCAACAGTGGTGTCTGTCCCTCTGCAAGGAGTGTGAAGGGAGGCAGACACTGCACCTCTGAGGAAAAGAGGAGGCGGCACCCTGGCTGTCACCCAGGAGGGGACCGCAGAGGGACATGTTACACGCCCCTGTTGCCCCTGCCGCCGCTCCTTTTCCTCTTGGCTTCTTCCATGGGAGCGCTCTTAAAGTTGCTGTTGAAGAGCTGGAAGACGTTTCATTAGATCGCCAGCAAACTCATCATTGGGAGAGGTGTAAACCCTGAATACACGAGAAGTCTTGGGCAAAGTTCTCTGACTTTTAAAACGCATCCACACGGTGTCTGTCTCCCTTCACACTCCTTGCACATGCCGGGAGTGCCGAACCGGAGTGGGAAAGCACATACAGGACAAGAACGCGTGAAGTTGGCCACTATGGGGTGAGCGCCTTGGCTTCCCCTCTTGCTCCTCACAGTCACCCTGAGCCGGTGCGGTTCTTTTGTTGGGCAGTGCCAATGTCCGCAGCAGCGCCTGCAGCAGCAACAAACAGCACCGCAACAATGAGGTAGAGTTCTGTAAAAAAATAGTGCATCTTCGAGGGGCTTCTGAAAAAAAGTGCCCCAAAACAAAACCCAGGCTTGCAGCAACAATTCGGAGTTTGTTAAGGAGAACTGCTCTTCTGCCCCAGCCATGCGTTTTCCAGTCCAGGCTGCTTGGCAGGCAGGCTTGGCAGACAGGGTTTTATTTTGTCAGCCCAAGGGTGGAGGGGGAGGTATGTAGGAAATCGCACTATCTCTGCATTGGTCGTGTGACTGAGTGGGCGTGGCCAACTCAATGTTACTCACAGCAAGGTGCCCCACCGTAAGTGACGTCGAGTTGGCCATGCCCACTCAGTCACATTACCCCACCAAGCTACGCCCACCAAGCCATGCCCACAGAACCGGTAGTAAAAAAATTTGAATCCCACCACTCTTTACAGCCCTCTGTAAGCTGTTTACAGAGTCAGCATATTGCCCCCAACGATCTGGATTCTCAATTTACCAACCTTGGAAGGATGGAAGGCTGAGTCAACCTTGAGCCGCTCAGAATCGAACTCCTGGAGTGAGCAGTGGGTTAGCCTGCAGTAACCACTCCACTACCACGGATCAAAGATGCTATGTGATCCTGATCAATTGGAAAAGTGATTGACTCAGCCTTTTATCACTGATAAGGAATAAAAGATTAAACAGCTCTGAAATACATTTGCCCTTGTTTCCCTTTTCCTAAGAGGACAACACATATGTGCTTTTCCCCTACGGAATATGCCAATTCTCTGATAGCTACAAAATGGGATGGGTTGCCTAGAGTCAGCAGTCCTTGAAAAATTCAACTTACCTCTGTAAATGAATTACTCTCTTACTCAGGGAATAACTGAGAGTTAATCCCAGACATGGATGGATGAGGATACAAAGACTCTGAAGTTTCCATGGAGACCCCAGGCCCTTTGCCATTAAGCATTGTGAGGTGCTCACAGTGATTCTTTAGCCAAGCATTTCTGTATACCAGCAATGGTAGGCCAATACCTTTGGGAAGTTATCCCCTAAAATCAAAAAAACAGCCTAAATGTCTGCTGAGGTTCTCAGTCATTCAAGTCATAGTTGTCTCAAAGGTATTTTGAGGTATTTTCAAAAGGCAACTGGACTGTTTTGTTTTGTTTTTAGTTGTGGGAGAAAAAGAAAATATTTCACTTCTTGTTCACGAAGATTCATCCATTCTAATGGTGAGGAGATGGGAGGATAGTTTCTGATAGGATGTTTCCATCTCCCCACCATCAGAACTGATGAAGTTTCTTGGTTGAGAAGTTTTCTTCTTCTCAAAGAAAAAAAACAACCCAGTTGTCTTTTGAAAAAGCACCTTTGAAACAAAACCAGACTATTTTTCATTGTGTTGCCGAGGAAGAGTAGCTCTTTGGATGTACTGCAGACTGCCTCTTAATGTGGAAGCTCCTGCATAACGTAAGTAAGACTCACTGACTTTTGGAGGTACATTGTCTGTGGCTGACCCTACATCCAGGGGAGGAGATGAGGGTAGGTCTTGAGAATATTATCTGGGAGGAGTTTGATCCTGTGGCTCCCAAAGATGTGGACAGGGTTCTGAGTAGTGCTGCCACGTGTTTATTGGACCCATGTCCCTCCTGGTTGGTACTGGCCTCCTGGGAGGTTATATGAGGCTGGCTCCAGGGGATTATAAATGCTTCTCTGAGTGAGGGTGCCTTTCCTGCCACCTTGAAAGAGGCAGTGGTGAGGCCCCTCCTCAAGAAGCCGTCCCTGGACCCGGCTGAATTAGCTAACTACCGTCCGGTCTCCAACCTTCGTTTTGTGGCAAAGGTTGTTGAGAGTGTGGTGGCACGACAGCTTCCCCAGCACCTGGATGAAGCTATCTATCTGGACCCGTACCAGTTGGGCTTCAGGCAGGGGTACAGCACAGAAACAGCATTGGTCGCATTGGTGGATGATCTCTGGAGGGCTCAGGACAGGGGTTGCTTCTCTGTCCTGGTCCTATTAGATCTCTCAGCGGCTTTTGATACCATTGACCATGGTATCATGCTGCAGCGGTTGAGGGGGTTAGGAATAGAAGGCACCATTTTGCGGTGGTTCTCCTCCTTCCTCTCTGACCGCTCGCAGTTTGTGTTGGCAGGGGGGCAGAGGTCGACCTCGAGGCGCCTCACATGGGGAGTGCCGCAGGGGTTGGTCCTCTCGCCCCTTCTGTTCAACATTTATGTGAAGCCGCTGGGTGAGATCATCCATGGTTTTGGGGTGAGAGTCCATCAGTACGCTGATGACACTCAGTTGTACATCTCCACCACAGACCACCCCAATGATGCCCTTGATGTGATGAATCGCTGCCTGGAGGCTGTGCGGGTCTGGATGGGGAGAAATAGGCTCCGACTCAACCCTTCCAAGACCGAGTTGCCGTGGCTTCTGGTGTCCCAATATAGTCAGCTGGTGCCATCCCTGACTATTGGGGGTGAACCGCTGCTGCCCACAGAGAGGGCTCGCAATCTGGGTGTCCTCCTGGATGCACGGCTGTCTTTTGAAAAGCATATGACGGCCGTGGCCAGGAGGGCTTTTTATCAAGTTCGCCTGATTCACCAGTTGCAGCCCTTTCTGGACCGGGACGCCTTGCACACGGTCACTCATGCCCTTGTCACCTCCTGGCTGGACTATTGTAATGCTCTCTACATGGGGCTCCCCTTGAAGAGCACTCAGAGGCTCCAACTGGTCCAGAATGTGGCCGTGAGGGTGGTTACGGGTGCAACCCGTTGTGCCCACGTGAAACCCCTCCTGTGCGAGCTGCACTGGCTCCCAGTGGTCTTCCGGGTGCGATTTAAGGTGTTGGTTACCACCTTTAAAGCGCTCCATGGCATAGGACCCGGGTACCTTCGAGACCGACTTCTGCCACCAGTAGCGTCCCACCAGCCAGTTCACTTCCACAAAGACGGTCTCCTCAGGGTGTCAACGGCCAAGTTATGTCGGCTGGCAACACCCAGGGGGAGGGCCTTCTCTGTGGGAGCCCCAGCCCTGTGGAATGAACTGCCCCCGGAAATGCGTAAGATCTCCGACCTCAGGGTATTTCGCTGTGCCCTTAAGACCCTGCTGTTCTGCCAGGCCGGGCTATCAATGTAATGATTTTAAATTGGATGTTTTAAATTTTTTGGGGTTTTAATATTGAGCCAAAATTATTTAATAATTTTAAATTATTTTAATTGTTGTTTATCTTTGTGCTTTTAATAGGCTGTACACCGCCCTGAGTCCTTCGGGAGTAGGAAGGTATAAAAATAAATTTTTTATTATTATTATTATTATTATTATTATCATCATCATCATCATCATCATCATCATCATCCTCATCCCTATTTTCTTGGGTCAACTGACACCATTGTTTCTACTTTTTTTTTTAAAAACAAAAAGTTTTTATTATTTTTTAAATTCAAACAAATAACATTTTCACTTATCTATTTAAACATTTGTTAACCCAAACTTCAACCCCCCCTTCCCTCTCCCCTCCCCCGACTTCCAGAGGAAAAACAGGGTATAAATTTTACCAAACACACGCTAAAATATACTAAGTTAATGCAAGACATTAAAACTCCCTAGACTCCTTAACTCCCCTTCTACAGATTATTCATCAACCTCCCTTTAAACTCAGAATAACATATAATCCTTTAGCCTTAAGAGTTTTTAAAAACCATTAACAAATACTAATAGATCATTCAAAGCCTAAAAATCTCGTAATACATCTGTAAGATATTCTTAGTTCATTTACTTAATCATGTTACTCTTCCTCCTTCAAATATTTTTAAAAATCTTAATACAACAATAATTAAACCTTAATTAATCATTAATTGAACTCTTAATTCATTTACTTAATCATTATAATTAATCATTAATACATCAATAGTTAGACCAGAGAAAGTTAATCTTCCATTCTTCCATTCTTTCTGTATTTTTTCCAATCTTTCTTCCTCCCTCCTACTTTTATTTTGAGAAGGTTTTGAATTTTAACTGGGAGTTGATGTATCTTTAAAACTTGTCCCTTTCTTGGAACCATTTCCTCTGATTTAGAGCCCCCCATATCGACTCTTCTTGCTTATATAATCAGTCAGTTCATAGAATGAAGAATTAACTCGATCAGTTTGCAAGAAAAGTCCAGTTGTTGCATTTCAATTAATTGTGTGAAAGCCTCTGCCAAATCTTCTTTATCCTCCGAAACATCGTAGGGCTGGTCAGTTTCTTCTTCTTTCTGCTCCAAATTATATTTTTGAAAAGTTCTGTCAGTTAATTCCAAAAGGGCAGGAAGAAAGTTGGAAGATTCTTGAGAGCCAGCCATTTCCAGCTTCTCTGTTTTGGTCAAAATGTCTCCTACATTGTCATTGTGCTTTCCTTCAAAAACATCTTCAGTTGCTTTTATATCCTCCACCAGTTCTATAAATTTTTGTTCTATGATTGCTGTTAGGTTATTAATAATTACAATTTGGTTATTCAATGCTTCCTTTATAAATTCTGTAAGGTCTCTTAAAAAAATCCTCCTGGCTCTGTGATTCAGTTCTCTGTGTCATTTCTGACGCCATTGGAGAGCCTCCACCACTTTCAGAAACTCCTTGCTTGGAAGCCATATTATTTTAAAAGAATTTTTCTTTTCACAGCCATAAAACCTCTTGAACAGCTTTCTCAGATTTATTTGTAATTTATCAAGCAAGATAGTCTTTTCTACACCCAGCTCTCAAATCCCAGCAGTTTAAATCCAGTCTCTGAGCACAAATCTGTTAACAAGCACTTTCATTTCCAACTTACACTTTCACACCCACAACGAAGACGCCATTTCCACCTCCAGCTCAGCAAAATCAAGTAGAGACAATGTATCCCAGGAGTTAAGCATATACTTGCAAAATCTTGTTCTCCTGCTTCCGTTCTGTCTGCTTTTTGAAATCAGTTAATCATCTTCTTGACAGCAGAGTCGGTCGCCGGCGTCTGGCTCCATTTAAACGGAGTCGCCACGGATCCGGAGCTTCAGTGGGCTGAGCGGGGAGCTCTCACCCTCCAAGTCCCTGGAATTACTCCAGGGGCTTCCGGGGAGCTCTACCCTCGCCCACCGGCTCTCCTCTCCTTCTTCTCCCAAAGGAGAGGTTTTTAAGCCGTCTGACAGCTGATTAGCGCTGTCAGAATGGCTCCAACAGAATCGCGGGGCTGGCGGTCCAAAAAGACTGTCCACGATGCCAGCGGTGCCAACTGGAAGCCCACCATTGTTTCTACTTTGATGAAGATGCCTCCCTTTGTCCTCTACCACAACATTAAGATAATTTTTTACCATCAGAAATTATTTTCTATATAGCAGTCTTTGGCCTAGTTATGTTTTTCAGACCCAAAAGCAAATTATGGTCTAAATTTGCCAATGTGAATTTAAGGTCTCTAGCAAAGAATTGAGGTGTTTCCCAGAAGACAGAAAACCTGAAGGGAAGGCGGGGGGGGGGTCGTCAGAGGAGCTTCAGTAGGAAGGGCTTCTTAGTGATTCAGAAAAGGGTTGGCCTCTGCTCAGTCTCTGAACTGAAGAGAGCATTTGGGCAGAGAGTTCTTTCTGTTTAAATCTCTGGGAAGGAGCCCAGTCCTGAGGACATCCCTTCCCTACCTTATGCTCCTCAGTCCCCTCATCAAAGATGTCTTCTACAGCCTGCCTGCCTCCCCCACCCCCACCCCCAACAAGGAAAAACATTGATAAAAGCGCTAGAGCAGTCCTTCTGAAGACCAACTTACATGTTGGAAGTCGAGGTGGCGCAGTGGTTAGAGTGCAGCACTGCAGGCTATTTCAGCTGACTGCTAGTTGCAGTTCAGCAGTTCAAATCTCACCGGCTCAAGGTTGACTCAGACTTCCATCCTTCCAAGGTCGGTAAAATGAAGACCCAGATTGTTGGGGACAATATGCTGACTCTGTAAAGCGCTTAGAGAGGGCTGTAAAAGCACTATGAAGCGGTATACAAGTCTAAGTGCTATTGCTATTGCTATCTTCACTGTGATAACTGACAACTGAGAGTTAGTGACCTTTCACCCCAAAAGCCATAAAGCCAATTGAATTCCCAACGAGATGACAGCCTCTTTCTTTTCCCCCCAGCACTGCTGTGACTAGGGTCAGTTCTCTCTGTTGTTTTTGCTTAGATGCAGAAACCTTTTTCTCCAGACCTCATTTCTCATAGAGCAATCCAAGCCAGGAAAAAAAAATGTATTCATAGAACACATTCTGCCCCAACAAAATAGGTATAGCTTCATGATCACATGACCCTCTTTTAGGCAAATTCCAATTTTGAGGGGTCCAGCTCTTAAGGAAGCCAAAAGATCAGACTTTTCCTTTTTATCCAAGCTCTTGCAGTGTAGACTGCCCAGGGGTGGGTTTCTACCAGTTTGCCCCGGTTCGAGTGAACTAGTAGTGGCGGTGGCTGGAGGCTCCGCCCACCCACCCAGATGTCATCACGGATGCTCTGTGCATGTGCAGAAGGTTCTGTGCATGTACAGAAGCACCATACGTGAGTGAAGTGTGCATGCGCGCTCCCGATTTTGAACCAATAGCGAAGGTAGGTGGGACCCACTAAGACTGCCCCTTGGTATGGAAGTTCTATTAAGCCACCCACTTGAGCAAGACTCCTTATGACAGCTCTCTTGCCGTTGCTTTCCTGGAACTTTCTCTATAGTCCACACTGTGCCTCGGCCCTCTCGATTCTTTCTGCTTGGATGAAGAAACCCTCCTTTTCTTCTGCACGCCAAAGTTCAACTGCAAGAGACAGAGAGAGAGAGAATATCCCTCCCCAACCACATCCCTCCTCAAGACATGGCACCATGTCTTAAGATCAGCAATCACTTTCCATCTCTTCCTCTTCATCCCAACTCAGTATGCATTCTCCAACATGCTAAATCCTGAATCCAGATCAGGGGGGGAAATTCCCATTTTTATAGAATATATTCTTCTCAAATAAAAAGCCACAAGGTACCGTTCGTCTTTAAAATGAGGAATGAATTTATGTCACCACCACCCAGTTGTTCAGGATGAAATGGAGGCAATTCTCACACCAGCTGAGTTTTTTAAAAAATATTTTTATATTTTATATTATTTTTTATATTTTATATTAAAATTAATATGTTGGTTCAACTGTTTTTTAACTCTGCACTTTATTTTTACAAAAATGAATCAAAGGTGGTCATGAAAGATTGGTCAGTAAGTTCAAAGAAATTGATTTTACCATCAAAGAATTAATATAACAAAGTGATATTTTAAGTATCTTTTTTTAATTCACCACAGAATGTCCACCCACTGACGCTTTTGATGACCCAGAAGCCTTTCTGTGTGATGTATTCTTCTTTATTCCTCCCATACCATTTTCTTCAAACCGCATTTTTTACAAGATATGCCAAGTTACAGGCTGCTAAGAGCCCCTCATCCTGCAACTGAGGAACTCAGCAGCAGTTGCTTTGTTGTGGTATAATGTGATTTGGCTTAAGGCCACCTTTTATTAGAAATAGAGCAGTGGACAAGTCAGACAATAGACCAATATTCAAGGAAAAACTGAAATGCTTAAAGTATATCCCAATTAACCACATTTCCTGCATTTTCATCCAGTCAAATTGAGCATGTGTCCCCTGTCCATTAGAAGTGGCAGGATCTCTATATTCACTACTGAAGAAAGTTAACATCCATTCACTCTTAGAAGAATGAAACAATCTAGGAAATATTAAAAAGGCAGAATATTATACCTCCCTGGATGAGAAAAGGAGAAATATGCTCTTGGAAAGCAGCCCCCACCTTTGTTAATAGCCCCAGAAAGACTGGTGCCAACCTATCTACAAGAAAAAAGTCTGGGCCAGCTTATCTACAAAACAAAAGACCTTCACCCTGGTGGGTTCTAAATTTTTTTACTACCGGTTCTGTGGGCGTGGCTTATTTTGTGGGCAGGGTTTGATGGTCATGTGACAAACAATTCTTTAGGATTTAGCAGAGGTACTGGTCTACCAGGCTTTTAACTGCTTGCAGAGCCGTACCGGTCTACCCATTTGTTTTTGGAGTGTTCCGGCCTACTGATTTGTTTTTGGAACGCACCGGTCTACCCATTTGTTTTTGGAACACACTGGTCTACCACCACACTGCCTTTTACCGCTGATCAGCTGTAGGGCGGCCCTTTGAAGCACCGCAGCAAGAGTTTAAACAGTTTTTTGCCGCTCTGCCACCACCGAGAGCATCGGAAACCAATTTCAGGCAGCTTGGCCTCAATTGCCAATCTACTACTACCGAGCAGTTTACAAGGAGTGGATCAGTTCTAGCCAATCAGTTGGGAGGCTTCTTGGCTTCTCAATTTAAAGCTAAGGTGTCTTTTCTCTCTCTCTCTCTTCTTTGTCAAGTGAGCCCTGATTTTTTCCTTCTAGCCAGTCAGCTGGGACTTGGGAGGCAGCGAATAGATTGAGGGCGGGGCAGGCAGAGGTGGAATATACCGGTTCTCCGAACTACTCAAAATTTCCACTACTGGTTTGCAAGAACCGGGGAGAACTGGTAGCAACCCACCACTGCCCTCTACCCATCTCACCACATGGTATCTGGGAAGATTGCATCACCCAGCAAGGTTCAACCAAGCCTGGGACTCAAGACAGCCTACAAAATTACCCCTGCATGGCCCATGGGAGTCTCGACAAGGAGCCTGACAACCCATCAGAGTACATGCCCTTGCCACAGGAACAGGAAGCAAGTTCAAAGCCCAAGAGAGGGTATAAATATCTCTCTCTCTTTCTCTCTCCCCACCCTCCCTCCCTCTCCCTCCCTCTCTCTCTCTCTCCCATGTGTTCAATTTCCCAGGACCTCAAATCACGTGGTCCTGTCCACCATTAAACCATCTTTCCAAACAGCCTCCATGTTTTCAGTGTCTTTCTCCCCACTTGGAACTGAACCCAGATGGACATTTCTTCCAACACTATATTCCCTCAAATGGAAGTAGAGAAAATACTGTTTTTTTTTTACTTCAGAACAGTCCTTTTTTCCTTCATGCCCCCATTACTACATTAGAATCTTTACAAAGTTTCTGTAGACCATGGAAATGATTACTTGTCATAACCCCTCATTCTCTGCTCAGTTTCAGCATTCGCTTCCATCTTAAATAGGGCAGATTCAGCATCTACAATCAATCATGACTTTTCAGTGTCTGCTGTTTGTGTACCCAGTCTTCAAAGCTTCTTCCACTCCCCCTCCATTCACATAGATACCACTTAGGAATGCTTCTTGCAATGCAGATTTATCCTGATGCCATCACATTTCCAAACTCTACAACGGGTGTCAGGATGCAGGTTTGTGGAATTTGCAACGTTCTAAGTGTTTTGATGGTTATATCCAGTGGTGGGAGTCAGCCAGTTCGCACCACTTCAGGAGAACCAGTTGTTAACTTTCTGAGCAGTTTGGTGAGCTGGTTGTTGGAAGAAATCATTAGGGCAGAGAACCGGTTGTTAAATTATTTCAATCCCACCGCTGGTTATATCTAGATTACCAAATGTGTTTATGATAGAAATGGATAAGAATAAAATGTAAAAATTGTTTGTAATATTTAAACTGTATATTAGATAACGATTACATTCTAAGTAGCCTACATTTGTAACTGTTAATGGAATAGCCTATTACTAAATTAAGGGATACTCATTTCATTAGTAGACTTTCTAATAATGCATTAGTAGTTTTCCAAATGAGTTCCACATTCAAATTGAAATATAGTTCTGAATTTAAATAAAAGCAGGCTGAATTATATTTACTTGCAGCTTGAATATACAGTGCAATAAGCTTTTTCTTTGGATATTGTTAACAGACACGTAACAACCCTGTGTAGGTTTACTGGAAGGTAGTGCAGCTTTATTCAAGAATAAATGAAGCCTTTAACAGATTTCTTATTCATGGTTCAAAAACATGTCCTAATACATTTGAGCTGGATTCACATACAAGGTAATGAAGTTTTGGGGCGGGGTGTCAGAATGTGGTAGAAGCATTGTGCTGCAGGCCCTGCCCCTTTGAATCTGCATGCAACAATCAGTGCAGATACAAAAGGGCATGTCTTGCATCTCAATGCTCTGTCCACTATCATATTGATTTTGATACCCATGACCCTGCATCCTGCACACCACAGCTTTTCTTTAAACTCCTAGTGATATGTAAAGTATGAATAACACAAAATATGATGGTTAAAAATACTATGGTTTAGCACAATCCATGAACCCACCCAGAGCATCTTTCTAGAACAGGGGTTTCAAACTCATGGCCAGGGGCTGGATGCGTCATGCGCTGGCCACGCCCACGCCCAGTTTAGTGAAGGGGGAAAAAGTTGCGATACATCATGTGATGATGCCGTGAGACGTGAGTTTGACACCCCTGTTCTAGAAACACAAGCAATCTTGATAAGTTTCTATAGGTAGTTTTCATCTTATCACCACGATTGAGATTTAAATCAGTCAAGTGAGTCATCATGTGACCAGACCCCAATTTTATGACTTTTTTTTACTGCAGCCATTAAGTGAATCACCACACATCAGCAAAGCACATGGCTGTCAAGCTACTCATATGGTCATTCAGCAACACCAGCTTACCGAAGAAGTTACCGGAAAACAACTGGGAAGATCACAAATTGCAATCACATGACCACAAGACACTGTAACCATCATAAATGAGAGTCAGTTGCCAAGTACCAAAATTGCAATCACTTGACTGTGAGGGTGGTGCAGCAATTGTAATTTGGAGGACGGATCATACATCACTTTTTCTGAGACTGTTGTAACTTTGAACCACTGTTAAACGAAAGGTCATAAATTGAAAACTACTGTACTGCAGAGTCTCTGGAGCATGAAGGAGCTTGATATGCCTGATACACCTGCAGCTCGGGGTAGGCTATTATCTGTTTCATCCTGCCAAGGGATGGAGTATCTCTCTTAATCCCTTACCCTGAAATAGGCTGCAAAATATATAGCAGAATGCATTTTAAAGCACCACCTGGTTTCGCCGAAACAATGTGCACATTTTTAAAAAATCTGGGCTTGCAATTCAAACCCATTCCTCATACTCAAGTTGTAACATAGTATGCCAGGTATGGTAGGGTTTTTATTAACCCAATGTCAATTATTTACTTCAGTTGTCTCCCATTCCTGCCATGCATAATGCACAATTGTCTGCATTTTTAACACACTGTATAATATTTCAAAAGGCTTGCAGGCATCCATCGGCTTGTTTATGGACATTGTATGTAGAAGAATACTTTACATTAATGATTTCTGCTTTTATCCGTTTGTTTCCGTCACATTTTCAAATGTGGTTACTTTTAAAATGGACCATTTCCCCCCACAGTTGGTAGCATTGCAGTTCATCATTTATTGCAGGTCTATGGCAAAATACAGTGCATAATCATTCATTGTGATTTCCCAGGGCAGTTTAGCAAAACCTTTTCTCTCCCTTACAAGCTGTTGTATCAAAAGTGGCACAGTATACGAAGGATTTCATCTCAGTACTTTTTAATTTTTGTTTTTACTATCTATTTCTAAATATATTCTGATATAGAAATTCTAGCAGGTACAGGACCACAGTTGACCAGCTTGCTAGCTATTGTGGAATAAAGTCACTTCAGTACATGACATATAGTTTTCAAATACTGACATATAGATTTCAACGAGATGTGTGTTTGCTTTTCCTACATCAGGGTTCCTCCAATGCCCCAGCCCCATTGCTGGCTGGGGAATTCTGGGAGTTGAAGTTCACAAATCTGAACTTCAAAACCTTAACCTCAGCAAGGTTGAGAAACACTGTTCTACATGTTTACCTAGTAAATCACTAAACCAATTCAATCTCTACTGGATTCTATTTAGAAGTATAGTTTGGACTTCTAACAGAATATTTCAGGTAGTCCTTGACTTACAACCACAATTGAACCCCAAATTTTTGTTAAGAGAGACATTTGTTAAGTGAGTTTTGCCCCATTTTACAAGTTTTCTTGCTTCCGTTGTTAAGTGAATCACTGCAGTTGATAAGTTAGTAACTTGGTTGTTAAGTGAATCTTGCTTCCCCATTGACTTTGCTTATCAGAAGGTCACAAAAAGTGATCACCTTGGGATACAGCAATGGTCATAAATATGGACCAGTTACCAAGCATGTGAATTTTGATCACATTAACATGGGGATGCTGCAAAGGTCAGGCTGTTTGCTGGGAGGAGGCAAATTGCTGGGAGGCAGAGGCCGAGGCAGTTTTTTTTTTTCCTTGTTTTCTTCCCCAAAAGCTAGGTTTTATAGTCCAGAGCGTCTTATATTCTGTTCACCACTTAGAGACAAATAATTTGCTATCCAACAGTTTCGCTTTAGGAAAAACTTTTCCTGTAATTTACAACTTTTGCACTGTAAAAACATCTGGCCTACATGTCTTGATCAAGATAAAGCTGTTGATGCAATTTACATAGATTTTTGTAAGGCTTTTGATACAGTAGTACATGATAAACTGCTCTTGAAATTAAATTCTTACAGCATTTCTGGACCTTTGCACAAGTGGATTGCTGCTTTCCTGTCTAATAGACTGCAGAAAGTCAAAATAGGGAACTTGCTGTCTAATCCTGTATCAGTTACCAGTGGTGTTCCACAAGGCAGAGTTTTAGGTCCCATGCTTTTTTTGCTCTATATCAACGATTTATGTGATTAACTAAAAAGCAATTGCGTTCTTTTTGCCTATCATGTAAAATTATTCAATTCTATAGATAATTCTGTTGTTTTGCAAAGTGATCTCAACTATGTGTCTGAATGGTCATCCATTTGGCAACTTCAAATTTTGATTAATAAATGTTCTGCCTTACATATTGGTAAACGTAATCAGAATGTCAAGTATAAACTAGGTGGCATTGATCTAGCAGATGACCCTCACTTTGTTAAGGACCTAGCTGTACTTATCTCTGATGATTTATGCTCCAAAGCTCACTGTAACAGCTTTGCTAAAAAAGCATTAAGAGTTGTAAACTTAATTTTGCAAAGCTTATTTTTCTGGAAACATTGTATTGCTAATTAAAGTCTATAAAACTTATGCTAGATCACTTTTAGAGTATTATTCAATTGTTTGGAATCCCCACCATATATCTTGACATCAGTACAATCGAGCAGGTTCAGAAGTACTCCACGAGAAAATTCTTGCATTCTTCTGTACACAATAGAATTCCTTATGCTACTAGGCTCGAAATTCTCAGTTCAGAGAACTTAGAACTGTGTTGCTTGTGGTCAGACCTAGATATTGCATACAAAATTATAAGTAGTAACATTTTACCTGTTAATGACTTTTTCTGTTTTAATTGCAATAATACGTGTGTGAACAACCGCTTTAAACTCAATGTAAATAGTTCTAAACTTGACTGTAAAAAATATGATTTCTGTAATACAGTTGTCAAAGTCTGGAATGCCCTACCTGATTCAGTTGTCTCAGCTACAAATTTTCAGTTTCAATCACAAATTGACTTCTGTGGACCTTACTTCATACTTAAGTGGTTAGTAGAGGGGCCATGCATAAGTGCACTAACGTGCCTATTGTTCCTGTCATTGTATTTTTATTCTCTTATTCTTGTTCTTGTTTTTGTTTGACAAATTCCAATCAATCAATCAATCAATCAATCAATCTAAGTGCTATTGCTACCCACTTTTTTCAGAAGTACTTGCATATTCATGAGTCATTGTAGCATCAATGGAATGCTACAAGGGCTCATTACATCATTTCTTCCCCATTGAGCAGGCAGGCAGCAGCAGAGAGGGTTTAGTCACAGCAGCCAATCAAATTCTGAGAGTTGACAACCTTAGAAGTGAATTACATAATGGATAGACTTGTTTTTTCCTTTGTTCCTTCTGTACAGATTTTGGGGCAATAACTAGCTATGCAAAACAGATCAGTTTGGGTAACTGACTGGGTAGAGTTATGATGTTAATCAGGGGTGGTATTCACTTAGCTTCACTACTGGTTTGCAAATGTGAGCATGCGCGCATGCGCAAAGCATCAAAAACGGGACATGATTACATCCAGGCAGGTAGGTGGAGCCTCCCACAGCCGATGCTACCAATTCACCCAAACCGGATAGAACCAGCTGAATACCACCACTGATGTTCATGTTGCCCATGACTTCATCAATTTGAAACTAATTTAATCTCTTGAAAGTCAGTGACTGAATTAACTTCTTTTTGATGTTCCTCTTTTTAATGTTTCTACTATACATTCCCCCCACCCTCGCATTGAGACAGTTAATCGTGTTGTGGGAACAGGGATCATGCCTAGACACTATGAACTGAAATTAATAGCTTCTATCACAGAATTGGCTTTGATTCTTGTTATATATATAGTTTTGGTGGGAAGTTTGAATAAACTAGCCATCAGCTGATTGACTGACCACCACAGCTGCAAGGTATATAAGGGGAGCTGTTTCCCCTGGTCAGTTGCTGAATCCTCACTCTACATTAAAGAGCTGTTGTCACTCACTGCCTGGCTTGTTGTGTCTTCATTCACCCAACGTAATATTGGCGACGAGGATGGGATTTTGAGGCCAGAAGCCATGGAAGAGCTGAAGCCACGAGCTGACAAGGAAGCTGCAACCCTGAATCCAGCCAGGCGAGTGAGCAGAGTACCCAGAGATCCTACCGACGATGTCTGCCTATATACTGCTAGCGCCTTTCAACCCAACGGAAGAGAAGTGGGGATCCTACTTGTTCTGCTTCGAATGCTTCCTAGTGGCCAGAGACCTACAGGGGCTGCCAGACGTGCGAAAGAGCCATTGTGGACCCAAGGTATTTGACATGGTCGAACCCCTGTCGGAACCGAACTCGGTCCACACCATCTCGTGGCAAATGCTCCAGACGCTGCTGAAGGACCACTAGGCCCCGACACCATCGAAATACGTCCAACAGTACGAGTTCCGGCAACGAATGCAGTAGGAGGGAGAATTGATCAGCGAGTACGTCGCTGCCCTGCAGAAGGCCGCAAACCAGTGCGAGTATCGAGATCTAGATGAGATGCTCCTAGAGCAACTAATCTGCAGAGTGAGAGATATTCGCTTGCAGAGGAGATTGCTTGCAAAGATGAATCTAACATTGAACATCGCAATGACGAGGCAAGGGCTCAAGAATCCTCCACAGGCCAGAACAGCACAGAGGTCAGCCCCAGTTCATCAGGAAACTGTATACACTGAGAGCAAGGAGGAGTCGGATGAGGAGGTCTGCCGAACCGAACAGTACTGGCAGGACCGTCGAGGTCACCGAGATGCCTGTGCAAGCTGTGGGGGACCCCATCCATGCCAGACCTGCAAGTTCCGAGATGCCATTTGCCAGCAATGCGATCGGAAGGGTCACATCGCTAGAGTCTGCAGATCCAAGCAGAATTCCAATTACAAGCCGTGGAGCAACGCTAGCCAATCAGAGACGGCACAGTGGAAGAAGACCAATAAGAAGGGTGGTCACAGGAAGGGTACAAAATCGAGGACCTCAAAGCCTGCACCATTCGAATCGACCGGACCTGCACATCCCCCAGAGAGAAGACCTACATGACGGTTGAAATCGAGGGGCATGAGTGCGTAATGGAGATTGACACCGGGTCCCCAATAACCATCATGTCCTGGGACAAGCTAAAGAAGCCTGTCCCCAGCGTCCAGAAACGGCACCTACGGTACCAGCGGCTCAGACTGCGCAATTACCAGGGGAACCGCATCCCCGTTGGGAGGAATCAGCAAGTTCCAAGTGGCGTACGGGGAACTCCGGGAGAAGCTTCCCCTCACCGTGGTCAGCGGAAAGCTCCCAAGCCTCCTGGGCATGGACTAGTTCAGGGCCCTGGGCATGGGATTCACCAGAGTCCACAATGTGCAAAGGACGACCTGATGCAGGAGTTCCAGGATGTGTTCGACGAGTGGCTCGGCAAGTATGTGGGGATCCCTATCTCGTTCAACCTCAACCCCAATATTGCCCCTATCCGGTTGAAGCCCAGGAGGGTACCATTCATCCTAAAGCCGAAGATTGATGTCGAACTGGACAAATTGATTAAGCAAGGGGTGTTAGTGCCAGTCGATCATGCCCGGTGGGAGACCCCAATAGTGACCCCTGTTAAGCCTGATGGGTCCATGCGCATCTGTGCTGATTACAAATGTACGATCAATAAGGCCCTCCAACAGAGCGCTTACCCGGTTCCGATCGTACACCATCTGCTACATTCCCTCGGGCCCAACACGATCTTTGCAAAACTCGATCTTGCACAGGCATATCAGCAGTTGCCAGTAGATGGTGCTACTGCTGAGGCACAGGCTATAGTTATGCACAGAGGTGCCTTCAAGTATACCAGACTCCAATTCGGAGTCAGCATAGTTCCCGGCCTGTTCCAGAGCACCATGGAGCGACTATTACAGGGGATCCCCAGGGTGGTCCCGTATTTCGATGACGTGCTCGTCACTGCAGAGGACGAACAACAGCTAGGGGAGAGGCTTAGACAAGTTCTAGGGAAGTTCAGAAGTGCAGGACTCAGGGTCAAACGCAACAAGTGCAGGATTGCAGTCCCTTCCGTGGAATTCTTGGTGTATCGGGTAGACAGAACTGGCACACCCCCCACCGAGAGCAAGATTAGGGCAATCCAAGAGGCCCCCACCCCAAAGACAAGGCAGAACTACAAGCGTTCCTGGGACTGTTGAATTTCTACGCGATGTTCCTAAAAGACAAGGCAACAGTAGCAGAGCTCCTGCACAGACTGTTGGCCAAGAAGTCCACATGGGTTTGGGGGAAGGCTGAGGCTATCGCATTTGCTGCCGTAAAGAAACTCCTGTTGGCCTAGAGTTTTCTAATCCAGTACAACTCTATGCTTCCCCTTTTTCTAGTCTGTGACGCATCCCAATTCGGCGTGGGGGCCGTCCTGAGCCATAGACTACCAAACGGTCTAGAGGCACCCATTGCCTACTACTCCCGGGCTCTGTCAAGCGCCGAACGGAACTACAGTCAACTTGAAAAGGAGGCCCTAGCAGCTGTCTCGGGAGTCAAGTTCCACAAGTACGTGTTCGGCAGAGACTTCGACCTCATCACGGACCATCGCTCCCTTCTGGGTCTCATAGCAGGGGACCAACCCACCCCGGCAGCCCTGTCTCCCAGGATGACACGCTGGGCGTGTCTTCCTGGCAGCATACTCCTATTGCCTGGTACATCGACCAGGGGTGAGCATGGGCAACGCCGACACCCTCAGCGGTTGCCCATTACTGGACATGATAGAAGACCCCACACCCAGAATACCAGTCCTGCTGATTGACGTCTTGGACTCAGGACCCACCACTTCAGCAGAGGTGGCGATGGCTTCAACCAAAGACCACGTACTCAGGAAAGTCATGAGTTGGGTCATGAGGGGGTGGCTGGAAAAGACTGAGGGCGGGGAATTCAAACACTTCACTAACAAAAGAGGCAAACTGACAATGCAAGGGGGTTGTCTATTGTGGGGCGATCGGGTCATTGTTCCCTTGTGCCTAAGGGAAAAAGTTTTGAATCTGTTACATGAGGGGCACCCCGGGATCGTGAGGATGAAGGGGTTAGCTAGGAGCTACGTTTGGTGGCCCCAAATGGATAAGGACATCACTGAGTGGGTGGGGAAGTGCCAGCCCTGCCAAGAGTCTAGGCCAGACCCCCCTACAGCACTGGTAAGGGAATGGGAGCAGCCTCAGGGTCCCTGGTCCAGGATCCATATAGATTTTGCTGGCCCATTGCATGGGCAGGTATTTATGGTCATCGTGGATGCCTTCTCGAAGTGGCTGGAGATTAGACTTATGAAAGCCACTATCACCGATGCAGTCATTAGGGAGCTAAGGCAGTTGTTCGCCACCCATGGCCTACCAGACACCTTAGTTTCAGACAACGGGCCCCAGTTCACAACCACGCAGTTTGAGGGGTACTTGGCGGAGTTGGGGATCAGGCACGTACTCTCCGCCCCGTTTCATCTGGCTAGCAATGGATTGGCGGAGAGATTTGTGAGAACAGCTAAGGAAGCCATTTCACGCCTAGGCCCCGGGGACTGGCAGGAAAGAATAGACAGATTCTTAACGGCCCAACACGCCACACCATGTACCGCCACAGGCCGAAGCCCTGGACAGGCTGCACCCCAGCTAGACCCTGACAACTTCAGAGGGACGGACAGGAAACTTGAAGAGCTCACTATAGGGACCACGGTATACGCAAGAAATTACGGGAATGGGCTTCTCTGGGAAACCGAGACAATTACGGAGGTAACCGGGCTCAAGTCTTATAGAGTAGACATGGGAGATGGGAGGATTTGGCACCGGCACATCGATCAGCTTCAAAAGCGATTAGCCGCCGACACAGAAGACAGCTTTGATGAACCGCTCCCTAACTACCAACAGAACTCCAAGGCTAACTCAAGCCTGATTCAAGCGGAGGACTTAGCTGTCGGCCCCGAGATCCAGCGACGTCCCATCACGGAAGATTGACCAACCGAAGAAGTAGCCGCCCACAACGAATTTTCGGAGGTTCCATTGGCGGAGCAGGGAGAAACGGAGTTCCTCTGACCCGCTTGACGCTGCACCTCCGACTGAACTGCGCAGGTCAACTAGGGTGCAGACACGCCCTGGTCACCTGTGGGACTACATATGCTAATGTCCACCCCAAGTGACTTCTGGGAGGGGAGGAGTGTTATTTATATAGTTTTGGTGGGAAGTTTGAATAAACTAGCCATCAGCTGATTGGCTGACCACCACAGCTGCAAAGTATATAAGGGGAGCTGTTTCCCCTGGTCAGTTGCTGGATTCTCACTCTACATTAAAGAGCTGTTGCCACTCACTGCCTGGCTTGCTGTGTCCTCATTCACCCAACGTAACAATTCTTATATTAAATACATTTTATATGCTTTGTTTTATTCTTCAAAGTCTGTTGTACAGACTTCCCTCATACTGAGGTTTCATTTCTGAGGACCTGTTATATTGCTCATAACTTAATGCAAAAAGAAACATTTGTTGAGTTTTGTAGGGAAATATTGTGCCAGGAAGCATCACTTTGGTTCTGGCACATAGCTAATCACAAATATAGTGATTATGGCTGATTTATTTTTTTCTACAATAGTTCTGAAAGCTTTGCTAAAAGGACCAGCTGCCCATGTGACTTTGTGTTTACCCATTATCAAAAAAAAGAGGGCAGCTTGATTACATGGCTCTAGTTGCCCTATCAAAAGAGAGGGCAACTACACCCATGTAATCAAGCTGCCCTCTACATACACACACTCTACCCCATCCTGGCCAACACTCTGATCTCCAACAATAAATACATTTGAAGACAGTTTGTATGTTCAAATGTATGTCTTAGGATCTGGCCTTAATCATGATGGTTCACATATACTGTATCTGTAAGAGGAGACAGCAGTTCTTCTTTGATTCCGTCTAATATGGTACAATGTGATATTTACTCTTCCATATATTTCCAAATGTGAGATGTTGCAGGTGGTACAACATAGCAAATAATGTAGAGAAGGAATGCTGCATTTGAATGGCTCAAAAATGAGAAAGGAAGACAATTTAAGTGGAAAGCCTACCTTCAGATATTTCCAGTAACTGCATCTCTTTCCCAAAGCTATCTTCTCACTTCTTATGGATTTTCATCTTTTCAGGGTCATAAATCAAAACCAGAAACTTGTTACCACCCATACTTGTTAAACTAATCTATATAAATCTATTGTTTCAGAGCTAAAATGTTTATTGGTCCTTAATTTCACTTGAACGTCCATATTTTACACAATGTATTGTAAACATAAAATTGGGGAAAACAGTATAGACTGAAGAAAAAACTGAAGAAAAAGGTGGGTGGGTTTCATTTGGTCATTATGCAAATGAATTACTATGATTCTGGTTTTTCCCTTTTTTTTCTCTGCTCTCAGACTAATGAATGGACCAGTGGTGGGTTGCCCCCGTTCGCACCGGTTCTATAGAACCGGTAGTAAAACCGGCGGGAAGCTCCGCTCACCGACCCTGACATCATCAAAATGCTTGCGAAGAAGAGCATGCGCGCGGGTGAGCGAAGCGAGTGTGCGTGCGCGGCCCTGCTGCAAACCGGTAGTAAAGGTAAGTAGAACCCACTCTTGTAATGGACCTGTTTTCTCTGTGTTGCAGGATAATTATATTCCATTAACATGTTTATTTTGCTGAGAGCGAGAGGGTTGGTTATGTAACAAGTTCCTTTTAGACTATGCCTGCCTTATAGTTTTATTGGAAAATAAGATAGTAATACAGATTCCCCATATGGAGAACAATAGGTGACGTTGCGTTGTGGAGCTCCAAAGCACTATAACACTTCAGCATCAGGCAGAAAAATAAAAGCTTTTTACTTAATTATAACAATGCATTCTCTGGATATCTTTTACAGGGCTGTGGCAAAAAAAAAAAAAAAAAAAAAGACTCAACTGTAAAAGCACTTCCCCTGTGCATTGAAAAATAAGTAGTTATCGAAGATCAGACAGGCTTAAATCGTTTCCACAACTAATGTCTTTTTTGTATGCATTTGTGGATAGTAAGCAAGGCAGGCTACTTATCATATACCTCAATGATGGAATCAAAGCAAGCCTTGCCGGTTAGAAAGCTAATGGCTTCAATTTGTAATGTGCCCAGTTTGGAAATCTAGCTAGCATTCTTGTAAAAGTTCTTGAGTACCTTTCTTGCTGTGTCCTCCATTAAGAAGCACTTCAGCTGCCTCAGTCAGCTGATTTTTCCCCCTCCCAGATATATTGTTGTTGTTTAGTTGCTAGGTAGGGGAGGAGCCTTTTAAAAACTTTGTATCTCAGGTTCCAAAATACTATATCATGCATTCTAACTCAGGATAACATTCACAGTTATACTTCAATAAACAAAATATCTTGGCCTGGTCCTGCTTAAAGTAAAGTTTGTTATAAAGTGCCTCTAAAGTAAATCAAGACAAAATTGTGCTTAATGCAAAGCTTGATATAGCTAGTTTGATATTTAGCATTTGGTAATTTAACAATGCTAGAAGAATATGTAACTGGCTGATATATAAATATTTATATACTGTAAATCAAATTTATGTACATTTTTTGTCCTGAACGCCCTTTATTCATTCTTCTCCCTTTTATTGATACATTTCCTAGAAAATTCATTGCTTTCTTGGACCATGGAACTATTAAAATGTTAGGAGCTTTTTAAGGTTAATTCCCTCTGCCTTTGCATAAAATCCATTTTATTTTCAGGAAATGTATACATTTACCTGCCAACCATAAAAAAAGCAGATCTTTAAAAATCATTATATAAAAATGCCCCTATCCCACCAGAAAATCTTTGATAAATCTTTGTAATAATGCTGAGATATCCACAACATTATATTGTTGATCTGTATTATTATTATTTTTTCTCATTCTAGACAAAACTGTACTCATTGTTTCAAGTACAACAGCACTGGATGTATGTGCAAAATTACAGCTGCTTTTGATACTAAGCAAAATTTCCAGACTGGTTGCTTTTTGTTTGTTTGTTGATGTTTTTCTCTCTGAATGGCCAACCTTTGGAAGCTTTTCCCATGCGCCTTCAGTTATGGTTGAGAGTAGCAAATTGTGAAGCTTATAAATACATGAGCTTATCTAGCATCTCCTTCAGTATTCAGAAAAAGGAGATAAATTCATAAAGAGAATTTGAAGCGCTCATGTAAGACTGTGACACATATTATATTGGAAATGCTTGGGAAACTTTTGTGTTTTTATCCACATTTCCTATTCAACTTGCATTTTGGAATGGTCTGCCACAGGAAATTCCCACTTCCAAATCCAAAAAGCAGTTAAAGCATGTGATGAATGAAGTCCCTTATCAGTATGCTTGGTGCGATGTCTACCACCTTCCTGTAGTTTAGGAAGAACTCATTATTAACAAATAAATAGTTATGTCCAAGATTCAGTCAGGAGTCCTGTTGAGAATTCTCCCTATCTAACATCAGATAGGAGGCACTCTTGCTCTTTAAACTTTCAAACAAAATAAACAGAAGTGGGGCTAAAGGATTGCAAAATACATCCAAATGTGTCTACAGATTAGAAAGAGGGATAATCCATCAAAAATAAGCAATTGTATTCAGAAACATTGAGAGGGTGCTGCTAATTTAAGTGTTCTTATGCATTCATTTCCACTTGCAACAATATTACATGGTTTGTTCATGTTGTAAAAAAACATCACTTCATCATTCTGTGATCGTAATTCTCTTACACATAATTTCTGGTGTTTAACATGTGTCCTCTATGTTGCTGGAAAGTTATGTACAACAAGGTACTCAGGCCATATTTTTATATTAAAGATAGCATAACACAGTTATTAGATAACCAGTGATTAAATCACGAGGTTGTTTCTATAATATTCCTTAAAGCTATATAGCTTTCATCATATAGCTCTAGATAAGAATGTACAATTTTCACACAATGTGCAAGTGGAAAACCTGAATATAATTAAAAGGGTGTACTCTATGCTTATATATGCATGCCATAATTGCCCATTTAATTTTCTGCTAGAAGCTGTAATATGAGATCTTTTGATAACCCAACTATTTGCTATGAGAGAAAAGGTGTGGTGTGCAATCCTACAACATTTCACAATTGTTCTTAATTTGCTTTATACAAGGCTAATGAAGTCTGCATTATGGATTCTCCTTTTCAATTTTTGGTATTCACCTCGTGGGAAATGCTAAGTCTTCTTCTGTGGTGCAAGTAATATGACCATCTTTAAGAATCAGTTGAAATCTAAGTGGTGTACAACTGAAACCAAAAGTTATGACTTCATGGTAATAGAAATGCATCAGGTTGAGCAAAAGAAGAGGTTACTGCATTATCTTGGTCAACTGAATTGACTTTTCCATTTCTCTGGCTGTAGACCAAAAGGGCAGAAAGCAGGGGGAGAGAGAGATGGGCATCTATAACAATATAATCTATAACTATAACAATGCAACAGTTTCCAGATCACCGCAAGAAATACACTAAATTAAAGGTAGGTTGAAAGGTAGAAATTTAATTTCTTCCTTCAATATGTTGCCTGGTTTGTTGATTGCAGCAGCATTTTCCCCAATAGAAAAGCCAAATATAAATGCTTTTAACAAATCAGAAATTTCTTTATATTTCTGTTCATATTTTGTGTTTTTCTACTTTTTATCTTCTTTCTTCTTTGACTTCTTCCCTTACTTTTCTTGTACTGTAAATATGTTGTATTTACTTATACAATTACATTGAAAGAAAAGGTATAATAAATGTGATATTATACCTTTATTTCAATGTAATTATATAAGTAAATGTTTTAATAATCTATTAAGAGAAGAAATTTATCTGTGACCAGGTTCAGGGCTATATTTTAATAATGTTTACCATTTCAAAACACTCCGAATATATTATCATATTATCATCCTTACTAGGGTAGTATTATTTTCATGATTTCTTGTAAGATTCAGAGATTTTCTGTCTCAGTCTAAACCAGTGTTTTATTTTTTAAGCTTCACAACACAAATACACTTGATTTTATCCATTTGTTCCAAAGACAAGTTATTTAGTTCAGAATGTTCTCTTGGGTAAATGTTTATTTGAGCATTAAAGCTTAAATTACCTCATTTTAACATTTTAAGAAGTGATTAGGCCAAAATCAATTTTACTTTGTCAAAATCAGCAGCTGTTCTTGTTGTCTATTCACAAAACAAATCCATATTATGTATTGTAAAATGTAAATTTTATTTATTTTTGTAACTTTGTACTTTTATGAAAAGCATGAGCTTCAACTACCTGAAATACTTTAGTTTTTGATTCTCTTTTCATTTGGCCTGAGTGTGAAGAATAATTTTCTGCTTAGGATATGGGCTTCACAGTCAAGTATGTTAGCTTATTTTATGATCAAGCTTAAACCTGTGATTCTCCCCCCCCCCATGATTAATTACACTTTGCTTTTTAGAAATCTCTTTATGTCTTTCCTGTGTTATAAATCTAACAAATGGAAATCAGAGCACATATATTGGTTATATTTAAACACACATTTTTGTTTACTTTAGTAAGAAACAGTAGTGTTGCTTTTACCCTTATATATTTACCATTAGAATTCATTCTTAGGGAAGTAAGTTCTATTGAGATACTGGGCCCATAGTTTACTTTGATTTCAACTAAGCTTCACTGCACAAAGACACATAAAGCAAAATAAAATTTATAAAGTAGAATCATTAAATTGATGTTGGTTTTGTTATTTTTTATTACAGTTTTTAGAGAGCAAGTTTGGTTAAGGCACCAACTGGAAGATTAGAAAGTTCTACACCTACCTTTGGGACAAAGCCTGCTGAGTGACTTGGGCCAGCCCCTTTCTCACAGCCCTAGGAAGCAGGCAACAGCAAACTATTTTTGAAATCTTGCCAAGAAAACTGCAGAGACTTTTCCAGGCAGTCATAGGAATCAACACTGGTTTGAAAGCATACACAATTTTTTAAAAATTTTAACTTTACTAAACCACCTTGGTCTTTTTTGGATTGAATGGTATATCAACTGCAATAAATAAATAAATTAGATATATTTGTAAGTAACAACCTGATGTGGCAGTAAGTATACTCTTCCAGAAACTTTGCTGGTTAGATTTGGTTGGTTCTATTTTAATAACACAGAAGTTATTCTACTGGTATATATACCAATAAGATACAATTTTTAAAATTATATTTTTGTTCAGTATTTTGATTTGTATGCATTCAACTGCAGAAAGGAAGTCACTGTACTTCCTATAGGTGGGCCAGCTAATATTGATGTATTGATGTTATTGCTGTTACATAGGCACAACAGTAGCTTTATGTGTGCAAATGACACTGTGGTCCTGCTAGCCACTTCATTAAGACTAATACAAACTCCATCGAACTTTCCACAAATTCAGTAAAATGGAAAGTCCTGTAGGATCCCTAATGATATCTATGCTTTTGCATTGTAGATGTATTGGGAGAAGTATTCCATAATTGTAGAAAACTCACCAAGAAAGATTTCTTCTTAGTTAAATCAAATTTGATTTCTGATATTTGTGGTACTTGAAGCAGAGTTTTCAGTCTAAAATTTTAATTGACAAATCATCAGATCACACAATAATCACTGGCAGAAAGGGAGGGAGAAAGTGACAAAGAAAAAGTAAGTGCCAGAATCAGACAGAGAAAGAAAGAAAGAAACACTTTTGTTTTTTGTCATCCCAAGAAGTCCATCTCTGTATTATGTCAAGTCCAAGTTATAAAGTTAAAATGATGCTTTCAGTTGGGCCCAGAAGGAAACTAATAGGCAGTGCATCATTATAAGATTTAGTTAAATATGTTCCCACATTCATATGGAGTTGAGCAACTTCATTTAAAGTTGGGAGGCCACATGCCGAAGCAAAGTTTTTAACAAGGTGCGTGGGAAACATCCCTCGGGATCCATGAACCAGTTGCTTCAGATCTTTTTGCTTTCATAGTTTAAGAATCTATCTAATGCAACTGGTGAGCACTAAAGAATTTCATTGCATACCAATGTCTGCTTTGAATGTTTTTAAGTGCATTAAGACAGTTACATCAAAATTTAGAATATAGCCTATTTGTCTCTGCTTTTCCACTGGGCTAAAAGAGACAATCTGCTACCATCAAGATGATCTGAAGTACTACCATCCTCAATTATAATAATACAGGATTCTTAACAGCGTAGTCCAAAATTTTCAAAGGTAATCAGAGCTTCTGCTAGCCTTTTACTCCATTCCTTTTTGAACTTTTGGACTTTCTATTCTCATCAGCTCTCCAGCAGAAAGTATTTATGTTCCTTAGTCTATTTTGAAGAATTAGGAATAGAGGAAAGATAATTAATTTTCTCTTGATTTAGTATATAAAAATTCATTGGTAATCAAATTAGGCTTATGCAAATTATCTCTGATTCAATTCTTAATGCTGATTTGGAATTTCAATATGGTGTAATTTGATTCAATTTTACAATTTGAAATTCTATGGCCACTCAGTTGGTTTTCAAGCCACTTTGAAAAATAAAAGCCATAGATTATAATAGGAAAACATCAATGCCTGAAGCTGCTTCAGTTTGGGTCAGAAAGAAATGCAAACAACAGGGAGAGTAGGCCCTTTAGAGAGTTTTACCCACCAAGTTTCAACTGTGTATCTTACAGGGGTTTGCCAAAATAAATGTTTGATGATGATGATGTGTTTTGGCTGCATCCCCTCTAGAAGACTCTGGAATGAAGAAAGGACAACACAGTTGTCTTCAAATTATTTAGCAGAATGCCAATAAACTAGTTGTTGAGTCAGTGCAGAGCATGGGTCACATTCCTTTTTAGACTACACACTTTTTAAAAGGGTATTAAGGAAATGAGCCACACTGTGCCCCCTAGATCGGACCTGACTGGGCAGGGAAAATTTTACCTTTATCTTTATTAAGAAATAATGTTTTACATTTCTAGTTGTTTTGCTGTCTTTGATCTGGGTTGATCTGGGTTTCCTGGGTTGCCAATAAGGCTGCTAAACTGCCTGTCAAGCTTGGCCACTCCTATGAAGGAGTCTGTCAACACTGGCCTTATCGCCTGGATGAGGCAGATCACACAGCCAAAGTAGACCCTCTGTGGGACAAAGCTTTAAAAAGGGAAGACTGGGTTGCTCTCACTTTCATTTGGGGAAAGTGTGTATAGCACGTGTTGTAAGTCTAAGTGGGGAACCATTAGTTCCCCACAGATTCCCTACCACAATTTTCCATGTTCCACTTCCAACATCTGAAACAATAATAGACTACATCAGTCTTCAGAATTAATGAGAGATTATTCTGGAAAAGAATTACTCCAAATAAATCAAGTAAACTGAAAAAATTTACGTCACATCCCTCTTCTGCCTTGTCAGGAACAACCAATACTCATTCTCCCATCCAAAATTGTTATTCTGGACAAAACATCTACAGATAACTATTATTTCCTTCAGACATTATTAACCAGATCCAGAAGAAAAACAAGTCAGAGGCAACTTCTAATAATTCAAATTAATTTGCAAAGAAACACATTTACAGTTGTGCTCATAAGTTTACATACCCTGGCAGAATTTATGATTTCCTGGCCATTTTTCAGAGAATATGAATGATAACATGAAAACTTTTCTTTCACTCATGGTTAGTGTTTGGCTGAAGCCACTTATTATCAATCAACTGTGTTTACTCTTTTTCAATCATAATGACAACAGAAACTACCCAAATGATCCTGATCACAAGTTTACATACCCCAGTTCTTAATACGGTGTATTGCCCCCTTTAACATCAATGACAGCTTGAAGTATTTTGTGGTATGTGTGGATGAGACTCTTTATCTTCTCAGATGGTAAAGCTGCCCATTCTTCCTGGCAAAAAGCTTCCAGGTCCTGTAAATTCTTGGGCTGTCTTGCATGAACTGCACATTTGCGATCTCCCCAGAGTGGCTCAAGGATATTGAGGTCAGGAGACTGAGATGGTCACTCCAGAACCTTCACTTTATTCTGCTGTAGCCAATGACAGGTCAACTTGGCCTTGTGTATAGGATCATTGCCATGTTGGAATATCCAAGTACGTCCCATGCGCAGCTTCCGGGCTGATGAATGCAAATTGTCCTCCAGTATCTTTTGATATCATACTGCAGTCATTGTGCCATCAATTCTGACCAAATTTCCTGTGCCTTTGTAGCTCACACATCCCCAAAACATCAGCGATCCACCTCCGTGTTTCACAGTAGGAATGGTGTTGACTCCTCTCCAAATGTAGCGTTTATGGTTGTGAACGCTATTGAGCTGAAAAGCTCAATTTTGGTCTCATCACTCCAAGTGACTTTGTGCCAGAAGGTTTGAGGCTTGTCTCTGTGTTGTTTGGCATATTGTAAGCGGGATACTTTGTGGCATTTGCATAGTAATGGCTTTCTTCTGGCGACTCAACCATGCAGCCCATCTTTCTTCAAGTGCTTCCTTATTGTGCATCTTGCAACAGCCACACCACATGTTTTCAGAGATTCCTGTATTTCACCTGAAGTTATTTGTGGGGTTTTTTTTGCATCCTGAACAATTTTCCTGGCAGTTGTGGCTGAAAGTTTAGTTGGTCTACCTGACCGTGGTTTGGTTTCAACAGAACCCCTCATTTTCCACTTCTTGATTAGAGTTTGAACACTTCCGATTGGCATTCTCAATTCCTTGGATATCTTTTTATATCCTTTTCCTGTTTTATACAGTTCAACTACCTTTTCCCACAGATCCTTTGACAATTCTTTTGCTTTCCCCATGACTCAGAATCCAGAAACGTCAGTGCAGCACTGGATGAAGGATGCAAGGGTCTGTCAGGAGGCCAGAAACTCATTGACCTTTTATACACACACACTAATTACATGCAAACAGATCACAGATGAGGATGGTTACTTTTCATAGCCACCCCTTTGTGTCAACATGTGTGCATGTTATCAGGCCACAATCACCAGGGTATGTAAATTTTTGATCAGGGTCATTTGGGTAGTTTCTGTTGTCATTATGATTGAAAAAGAATAAATACAGTTGATTGATAATAAATGGCTTCAGCCAAACACTAACCATGAGTGAAAGAAAGGTTTTTGTGTTATCATTCATATTCTCTGAAAAATGGCCAGGAAATTATAAATTCTGCCAGGGTATGTTAAACTTATGAGCACAACTGCATATTCTTCCTTTTTTTCCCAAGTATTTCTGCTCACACTTACAAGCACTTTGAAAAAAAGAAATTCACAAGTATCAACATTTGATATATTGATACTTGGCATAGTTGCCTTAAGTCTACTCAGCAGGACTCATTCAAGTCATTCAAAGGATATTCATATCCTAAGGCTTTGTATTTCATCAAATGCTGTATATATTATGAAAAGAAATGACACAGAGCTATAATTTAAGACTGAAAGTTCAGATCTGAAGATCTGGACTCTGGATCTGAAGTCAATCAAATCTACTTCCGGACATACACAATAGTTTATTTAGAATATGTATGTACTTAGTAGCTCTAGACAGCTAATAAGAAACAAAACAAAAAAACCATAAAACACATCCAGAAGGACATACACACCCATATACGCACTCATGCATAAATGCACACAGACACCATATCTATATATGAGCCTACATGTCTAATAAAACTTCAAAAGCAGCAATTTTAAATACGTATAATAAAAACTGAAATTCTAAGTCCAGACTTAGATAACATTTCATTACATATTTTGTATTACCTGAAATAATTGTCTGAATAAGATGCACTATCCATTCATGCTATAGGTTTCCTGAATATTTTAACCTTGTTCAATTACGCTGTATGAATTTTGCTACTTTATACAGTTGGACAGCCCTGTTTGTTTCTTTAAGATTTATTTGTTGGTTTGTTTATCAAATTTTTCTGCCACCCATCTACCCTGTAAGGGTGACTCTGGATTCAAACAAGGACAGGAGAAATGGAGTATTGGAGAGTGGAAAGTTTAATGTAAGCCTGGCAGCTTTTAAGGCACAACTTAAAGGCCCAGGCTGGACTTCAGGGCCCCATTCAGAAGAATGTAGCACAGATGGCTTAACTCATTTGTGTATAAAAGAATGACATCAAAGGAAGGGCTCTCCATAAGATTCTTAAGTTTAGGCTCTTAAATCGCTTAACTGTGTGTTACCTACAGAGGTAAAGTCCTTTAAATAAATTTTAGTAGGTAAGGCACTACTACCATCATTGCCTGCTTTGGCATGTAGAAGAGTACAATTTTGAGATTTTGAGAGGGAGGTTAGAATTATTTTTCACGCCTGGAATTCTTCATTGCTTACGGGCATCTGCCCGGCCTGTTCTGCTGTGGTTAGTTATACATACTTCAGTGCACTTTCTTTAATTAGCTCGCTCTAGGGTACACATCTCTTCACACCCTTGGGCTATATTTAAAAGGAGAATTGTGATTATGTGAAGCATTTTTACAAAGAGGAGAATTTGAAGGACCAATTGCTTAATTCTTCTCTGCATAGCCCAACATTGTTCACTGGCTTCTGTGTTTATTCCAGGAAACTTTTGCATAATAAAATAGGAAAATGGTCTTCTGAATAATGATTATCAACTTGAAGATATTGATTTAATAGGGATTTTTCACAGATACTTCTGCAAAATTTATTAAAGTACACAATAAATAATTCTCATTTTATTTATATACCATTATCTTTTATCGTACCAAAAGAAATCCCAGATGTCAGATTTTAAGTTATTAATTTAAATTTTTCTTCTCTCTCTCTCTCTCTCCCTCCCTCTCTCTCTCTCTCTTTCTCTCTCTCTCCCTCCTGCCCCCCCCCCTCTCTCTTTCTCTATCTCTGCTGAAGCAGAATAATGAGAGGAAACCCTGATGTTTCAAAAACTTGAAGAAGTGCAAAAGGAGCTGACAAGAAC